GGGCGGGACGGCACGGCGCTGCGGCCCGGGCCTGGCCCTGGCTCCGAAACGGGCCTGGAGCGGGCGAGCCCCCGGGCGCTGCCAGGCCGGGCCCGGCTCTGCGGAGCCGCCCGGCGGGAAGGCCGCGGGACGCGGAGCGCGAGCCCCGCAGGGCGCTGCGGAGACCCCCGCGCTCCCCCCGGGGCGCCTCGAGTCGGGGCCGGGCCTAGGGGCTGCAGCGGCCGTGCAGGCCGGCAGCGCCGCGTGACCGGCGCTTCCCTGAGACACCCGCGCCGCGGGAATGCGGGCGCTGGCACCCCTGCTCCCAGGGGAGGAGTTGTCCTCGCATTTAGGGGAGGACAGTCGAGCAGGACTTGCTTTCACGGTTGGGCCAAGTGTTGTCCCTTCCATAGTATGAACGATAACCCAAAGCCTTGTATGAATAAGTTTAATAGGATTTGTTCCGAAGATACAAACTTCCTTATTTTAAGCATGCAAGAGTGTGAAGTAGACCAGAAAACAAAGGAATAATTGAAGGCAAAGGTAAATAGATCTGCAGGGATCCAGAAGAAAGCACACAGCTACCAATAGCACTAGTAGCAGTGCCGTTGCTTATGTGCTACACTGACCTTTTGTTTTGAAGTACAGATTGTAATGAGCCAAAACAAGAACTATGCACTCTCCTTTATTGTAAAAGGAGTATTAAATCCCTTTATTGTAAAGGAGCATCATTTAAATGGCAAGTGCAATCAGAAGAAGTGTTTGTGATTCAATAAAAATGTTTTTCTTTCTTGATCATACAGTCTGTGTATGTGAAGTTAATGTGCAGTGTTTAGATGCATCTACCACAAAAATAGATTACAGCTAAGGACTGATGTTTGACAGTTTCCCCAGGTTTTAATTACTTGTTTCCTCGTGTATGGGTTGTTTATAACAGTTTCTAATGTGATTGAAAGTCTCTACATCTACATAAAATTTCCAAATACAGATAGGATTTCTTTTTTCTAATTTTACATGGTGTTATCTGTGTAGTTCTCGGCCACCATATTGTACTTGGCCCTCTGTTGAAAGGTCACTAGTTACATGGAAGCCAAGCATTCCTTTTAATAGATCTCCTAGGGGTTCTGAGAAGGTGTTCTGAGGAGTTGTGTTTTTTAATCTTTATTTTTTTTAATAGCCAAGTATACTTGCCCTTTTGTGGCATTCAGAGAGTTTGGTAGTGTAGTTCTAGTTAGTTTTAAAGTTCTGAAAGCTTCTTGGTTTTTTTTTCTTTGGTTTTTTTTTTGTGTTTTTTTTGTTGGTTTGTTTGTGGCTTTTATCCTCTCTTGGACACCCTTGAAGACTTAGGGACCAGCCATATAAGAGTGGTGGCACTTGGTAGGGCTCTGTTCTGCACCCAGGGGATGCGCTCTCTGTGCTTGGAGCGTAACCATTGACAGTTTGTGGACAAGGCAGCTTATTGGGATGTATCAGTGGTTCCTCAAACAGAATACAGAGGTATATAGCCATAAAAGAGGTTTAGTAAGCTGGGCTTGCTTAGCAATAGTTTATTCTTTTTACTTTATTTCACTTTATCTTCAGGGATTTGCATATAGAAAATGTCATGAAATAGGTTTTTGCGCTGCAGTGCAATATTCCTCCCTGTGTATGTCCTTACCCTTATATTTCCAAATGCTTAAAGCGGATGACTAGTAAAAGGTGATGAAATCTGATGAACTTGGTATGTTCTGATCTGTATGTTAATTCTGACTCCCTTGCTGACCTGCTGTGTGATTGTGCAAGACAGTTTCTCTCCCTGTGTTTCAGTTTCCTCGGATTTCCTAGGAACCCAGCCCTGCTAGATTTCCGCAGAGGGGAAGAGAAAACAAGAAGTAGAATGGTTGTAGCATATTAGGAAGGCAGTTGGTAGGAGGCTGTTAGATGGTCACTGAGATTCCACAAGGCTCATATCTTTAATTTTAACCTACTTCTCTCCTCGTCTCACTGAAGATTGGGTGAGGCTGCTGTGGGAGACAGGCCAGCACCAACACCGACTCTCTTGCACCAGAACTTGAGTGGAAGAGTGAGCAGCACATGGTGTAACAGGCTGCAGAAAACCCTGCATGGCTCATTGTGAGCCCAGGAGCAGAGATACATGATCATATCACGTGGCACTTGGCAGAAACATTAATCTAAGAGCGCCGCGTTAATACATTGCTCAGTACTAAGTAGGACAGATCTTGAAGGTAAAGCCGAGACAGGAGTAAATGCTGATAGGAAAGAAGTCAAGGTGTGGTTCTCTGGTTTGGCTCTTTCCGATTGTTAGATGTGTTTGCTTCTACCTGCACCTGCGTATACTTTGCCTACAAAGACACTTGCAGAACAAGGCAGTCTGTTGCACGTGCTTCTCTGGGTGGGCATATGTATGACAGATATTTCTTGCCTTTTTAATGCTCTACTGAGAGGCCTAGGTGCGCAGAGAGGAATCCCTGTGGAATAGATCCGAATGGAGAAAACCACAGCTGAGTGTGGCGGGGGAGGATTTTTTTTTTTTTTCTCCCTCCATTATTCCTGCTTCCCTGCCCCAACAACTGTAAAACAGTTTCCTAATTCTTGCATTTCTATCAGTGGAGGTTTATTAGCAATAAAGAACAAGTGCAGGGTCCTGCACCTGGGCAGGAATAACCCCAAGCATCAGTACAGATTAGGGGTTGACCTGCTGGAGAGCAGCTCCGCAGAGAGGGACCTGGGAGTCCTGGTGGACACCAAGTTAGCCATGAGACAGCAGTGTGCCCTCGTGGCCAAGAAGGCCAATGGGATCCTGGCTGCACCAGCAGGTCAAGGGAGGGGATTCTGCCCCTCTCCTCAGCTCTGGTGAGGCTTCACCTGGAGTATTGGGGGCAGTTCTGGGCTCCCTGGGACAAGAGGGATGTGGAGCTTCTCAAGAGGATCCAGCAGAGAGCAACTAAGGTGATTAAGGGACTGGAGCATCTCTCATGTGAGGAGAGACTGAGTGAACTGGGTCTGTTTTCTCTGGAGAAGAGAAGGCTGAGGGGATCTGATCAATATGTACAGATTCCTGAGGGGGAATGTAGGGAGGAAGGGGCCAAGCTCTTCTCAGTGGTGGCCAGTGACAGGACAAGGGGCCATGAGTATAAATTAAAACACCTCCAGTTCCATCTCCATGTGAGGAGGAACTTCTTTCCTGTGAGGGTGACAGAGCCCTGGCACAGGCTGCCCAGGGAGGTTTTGGAGTCTCCTCTGGAGATCTTCCTAACCCGCCTGGATGCCGCCCTGTGCTCTGGGTGTCCCTGCTGGAGCAGGGGAGGTTGGACTAGATGGTCTCTAGAGGCTCCTTCCAACCTCAATTGTCCTGTGTTTCTGTGAAAACACCACTTTTGTAAGTTTCCTTTGTTACAGCTTTTTGAGGAAAGTGTCCTAGATAAGCTGAAAGTGCCTTCTTAACACAGCCTGCAACACTATTTGAAGAATGTATTTATGTCCTCTGTTATTCAGGGAATGCGATAATTTGGAATGTTACCTCAATGGTATCGTGTGCTTAATTTCCATCAGTTAGTGCAGTGCCTTCACACAGGGCTGTTCTGGAAGCCTGGTGTGTGTTACAGTTACGTTTCAGTGGCCACACAGTCTGTATTGTTTCTGTAGCTGATGCAGCTTTTCAGCGCTGGCAAACGTGGAGTGATACTGTTGAGGCTGCACTGCATTTTCAAGTTCAGTGACACATCCCTAGTGTTACTACATAGCACAGTTATTGTAGCAGGTTAGGAACAGTATCTTAGAGGAGGAACTAAGCACTGAGCTCCAAGTTTCCTCTTAAACTTTTAAATGAGAAAATACTGTGATATTTATTAGTGGCTCTTCTTGCACTGCAGCTGCTTTTTCTGTCTTGTTAATAACCCACGTCCTAAAAGTACCTAAGTACCCAAGTCCTGAAAGTTTAAAAAAACAAACAAAACCCTACTTTTTAGTTACTTACTTTAGTAAGCAGTGACTTCTTCC